CTCTAATCTGGGAGAACTGGGTTCGATTCTGCACTCCTCCACATGCAGCTGCTGGGTGACCTCGGGCAAGCCACAGTTCCCTCAGAGCTGTTCCCTCAAGAGCAGTTCTCTCAGAGCTCTCTCAGCCCCACCTATCTCACAGAGTCTCTGTTGTGGGGAGGGAAAGGGAAAGGAGATTGTAAGCCGCTCTGAGATGGTTTCTGCATTGCATTGGTCAAGCGGTGAAGCCTTTCATTCTTCCCCCCCTTCGCCCCCCCACAAAGTAGTGTTGCCATTGTACTTTACAGAATGATGTGGAGATAGGGCTGCCAAGTCCCTCTGGGGGGCGGATTTCCCCCCGCTTTGGAGGCCCGATTTCCGCCGCAGCAGAATCGGGCCCCGGGGGGAACTCTGCCCCCCGAAGCTGCGTCCCCCCCCGACGATCTGGGCCACGCCCCCAACGTGCCCTACATCCTGTGTGACTTCCGGTGATGTTCTGGCGGCGCACACGCGCAAAGCGCACGCGCACCCGCAGCCAGCTCCCGGACCCAGCGAACACTCCCCCGCCGGTGAGTAATTAAGATTTGGCAACCCTATGTGGAGACAAGCGGCACAGAGAAGGCAGGCTGTGCACTGGACAAGCTCTCCTCTTGGCCCTGCCCACCCACCTTCTCTGCGATTTAAAGTCCCATGTTTCTGGGAGGTGAGAGGGGGAGACTGGGAGAGAAGGGGGGAGTGAGAGGTCAGGGAGCAGACAGGAATTGAGGGTGCAGGTGTGAGGGCCAGGGGCAGGGCAGATGTGAGGGTAAGGTGGAGGGGCGATGCTGTGGTTTCTCACCCACATTCTGTGGGACTCTGAATCCCTGCCAAGTAACTTGGAAGAGATCCACAAAGCCCCCATGCACTGCTGAGATTTCATCTCACGATGGCCACCCGCTCCTTCCTTGCCACTGGCACCCCTCTCTTGGGGGGGGGGGGGGATACAGTGTTGGTTTACAGGTGAGATCATTGTTGTCAGTCATGAACATCAGGATGATGCTATGTTGAAACATGCTTGTTATAGGTCCTGGTCACACGGAGGATTTGCTCCGTGAAAGGGATGGATTGAGGGCGCATCAAATGGGTGTGATCATACCACAACATCTGGGAAGCATAGCGCACCCATCTCCAACCCGTACTGTCGGCCCGAAGAAGCGGATTTAAAAGGCACTGGGGGAAATGTAGTAGCTTCCGGTAAATGCGCGGCATGGGAAGGTGTCTGATCGGAGACGCACCGGTAGCCTGTGGCATCCAGCAGCCATCCGTGACCCGCACATGCGCACTAACGCAGCACTGCTGTGTTGCCTCGCTGGGACTACGCTGTTGCCTCCCTGGTGTGATCGGCTGCCGACAGCCTGAGGACAGAGCTGTGGGGGACCGTAAGATCACGCTCCCGCGCTTCTTTTAGCTCTACCTCTAAAATGCCTCCCTCCCAGTGCGGATTTTCCCGCTCGTGTGACCAGGGCCATAGACCATTTTTTAAATTTAAAATCTGCAATGCGGAAAAGGGAGAGCAGACAGCTGAGTGTGAGCGACAGCAGACCACAAAGTCCTGTACTTTGCCACAGTGGTGGGGGAAAGGAAATGGGTGGAGAAGGGGCGGGGAGTGGGGGGCCGTTTCTGTGCTCATGGTAAATTGTCTGCACTGGAGAATTTATCAGCTTGAAAGCTGAGTGACTGATACATTTGTGGGGGAAAACAAGTTTCGGAAGACCCAGAAGAATGGCAAAGTGAACGCGGGATGTACGAAAAATAAATGCCGAATCGTCAACAAGAGCCGAATGCGGAAGGAAGTGCAGAAGGCAATTTAAAAGGGGGGATACATTTGAGGAGAAGGCGGAGGAAATGACGGGTGCGGAAACAGCCTATGTGTGGTGCATTTTTCCAGAGGTTTTGTCATTTGCTCTTCTCACTCCTCCTGTAGTGTTGCGAAACAGGCCTGATATGAAGTGTAAGGAGCAAATATTTCTGAACATTGTAGACGTCAAGTTAATTTGTACTCGGAGCCTTCATCATATTGTGGCAAAGATATAATAGCGACAGGTCTCACTTCCTAACTGAACAAAGAACCGCGTTGGCACTTAAATCGATCCCGTTCCTGCCTAGTCTTCACAGTCATCCCTGTTACAGAAAAGTCATCCTAAGATCACTTTTAAGCTGTCATTTTCAATAACCAGGTGTTTGGTGATGTCACCTCCACATTCCAAAAATCAAAAGATACAGAGCCAGGCTAAGACTGGCTGACAGACCCAGGGATGGATCATCCTGGCATTTAAAAAAAAAAAAAAAAGCTAATTGCAGGCTCCGGGCACACAGGCCGGATAGCGTGGGGGGGGGGGGAGGCGTGGCTAATTGCCCCGGCGCAGTTTGATGCGCGATTACGCTATCAGACACGCCGGCGGCACACCACGGGTCCTTCCCTCGGCGCCGGCGAGTAAACGAGGGACCGAAGGGGAATGCCATGTGCCGGCGCAATCCCACCACAGGCGTCTGGAGGCAGCCCGTGGCAAACATTTACTAGTACCTTGGAGGTACTAGTTTTTTAAGGCGCATTGTCGGCGGTAAGCCATGGGTGCGCTCCACTTCCCAGATGTTGGGGTGTGATCGTGCCCGGATAATCCGCCCACCATCCGTGCCTCTCCTGCGGCAACTTTGCCGTGTGACCGGGGCCGGAATCATGCAAAACTCCCATTTTAATCAGCAACATGGGGGCATGGAAAGGGGGCTGAATCCACCACTCCATGACTTAACCTATCAAAAACGACCCTCCCCCAAATGCTATTATTCCTGGAAGGGGGAAAAGATAAATACAGGCCCATAGCAAGGATTTTTAAATTCAGGAGGCCTTTAAGTAAGTCAGGGGGCACCCCACACACACACACCCCAGGGAGCGCCACAAATAAAATAAAAAATTGGAAGTTGGGGGTCCTGGGCTGGATGGGACTTCTATTGCCTGGAGATCAGTTGTAATAGCAGGAGATCTTATCTCGCCAGCCTTTTAGAGTCCTTTGAGGGGTGAACAAACATGTGGACAAGGGTGTACCAGTAGATGCTGTTTACCTAGATGACTGAGGGGTGACTTGACAGAGGTTTACAAAATTATGCATGGGATAGAGAAAGAAGACCTTTTCTCCCTTTCTCACAGTACACGACCTTGTGGCACTCAATGAAATTAATGAGCAGTAGGCTTAGAACAGATAAAAGGAAGAAGAAGAAGAAAAAGAAGAAGAAGAAGAAGAGGAGGAGGAGGAGGAGATTGGATTTATACCCCGCCCTTCACTTGGAGTCTCAGAGCGGCTTACAAACTCCTTTCTCTTCCCCTCCCCACAACAGACACCCTGTGAGGTGGGTGGGGCTGAGAGAACTCTGACACAAACTGCTCTTTCAGGAACAGCTATGCCAGAACTTGTGACTGACCCAAGGTCACATCAGCAGGTGCGAGTGGAGGAGTAGGGAATCAAACCCGGTTCTCCCAGATTAGAGTCTGCACACTTAACCACTACACCAACCTGGCTTCTTGACAAGGAAGGACTTCTTCACCCAAAGAGTAATTAACATGTGGAATTCACTGACACAGGAAATGGTGGTGGCTACAAGCATCGACAACCTCAAGAAGGGATGGGATAAACATATGGAGCTATTAGCCACAAGGTATAGAGGGAACACTTTGTCTGGGGCAAGTGATGCCCTATATTCTTGGGGGGAAACAGTGGAAGGGCTTCTGGATTTCTGGCCCCACTGGTGGACCTCCTGATTGCACCTTGGTTTTGGCCACTATGTGATATGCAGTGTTGGACTGGATGGGCCACTGACCTGATCCAACATGGCTTCTCTTAAGTTCTTTATGAAAGATCCAGGCCCTACCTGGAGGCTGGCAACCCTAAGCCCAGCTCATCAGCACATACCCTCTCTGTCAATTCTGTCTCCATTTTTCTTCTCTAGGAGACATCTCTGTCTGGCTTGCTTCTGCCAGAGCAGTTCCTCATCTCCTTTCCTAGATCTTTCAGCTTAGGGCTTTGGCATCTGGCCTTCTTGACAAGAGGCGCCACACACACACCCCCTCACTGCCCTTCCTCCATCCCTTGTCACATGATGACATTCAGCCAATCTCTGCTAAAAGTGACCATCATTACCATCAGGGCTTTTTTCATAGAAAAAGCCCAGCAGGAACGCATTAGCATAATAGGCCACACCCAACAGCAGAAACTCAGCGTATTAGGCCACACCCCTGACAGCACAGCTCATTAGCATATTAGGCCACACCCCGTGCATTCCCTTGGCTTGCCCGGGCGCCCTGCAGCTGCGTGGAGGCCGGGAAAGGCCCCCTTTGAAGGGAAGGCTTGCCTTGGCTTGCCTGGGGGCCCCGTGGCTGCGGGGTGCCCAGGCAAGCTGGCCCTTGGACAGGCCGGGGAAACATTTAAATGCCTCCCTGATCCTTCCAGGGCCCCCCCCTGGTCTGCCCGCCTCGGAGTCACCAGGGTGTCGCTCTCCAGGCCTTCCCCGTGTAGCCACGCACCCGGAGGTTTTGGCTGTAGTGGGCATGGCCAACTCTGAAGCCAGCTGCAACTCCGTTCCTGTGCGTCCCTGCCCAAAAATAGCCCTGATTACCATTATCACAAAATTTCCTTAACATGTTACAGTCTTAATTAGAGATTCCAATCACTTTGTAGGCAATGCTCCCTCTAAACTGTGGAGTCTTGTGAGCAAAAATTCTACTTCATGAGCTACTGGCATTAGAGTTGTGAGCGAGCGATTTGGCTACTGCATACATTAGTTTGCTCCGGAGCTGTCCTTTCTGAGCTAAGACAACAATGTGTGAGTCGGAGGCAGAAAAACTAAGAGCTAGCTCACAGTAACTCAGCTTAGAGGAAACACTGCTTGTAGCTACTTTGTGACATGACGAGAATCAGGCCGGTTCCCGGCTTTCTGTGAGCTTGTTGCCACAAACTCACTGCTAAGTAAAAGAAAAAAAGACCACTCACATTTTTGAAACCTCTATATAAGATCTGCAGCTCCTTCTTTGTGAATTTGCTCTGGGCTTCCAGCAGTTCAAGGGCTTCGGGCCGATGCCGGACGGTAGCCAGTTCAATTTCATCTTCTACGCTGTCTATGGGACCAAATGGAAAGAAATGTCAGCAGG